GTCTGTAGCTTCTATAACCTACTTGATATGAAAGATGAAGTTGGGCATATTTTTTGGACAAATTTTAATTAAAGTTAAACTAATTAGTTGTTGGCTATTCAGTACTGCTACAGGTCTTTTTCTTTAGGCACTTTAAGGGTACTCTGCTTGTAAACAGCAATGCAATAGCAGGCAGATTCCAGCAGGGGTAATTGACTCGTGTGAAGTTTCTTAATAGAACACTTATAAATAGTTAAAATTCATTCTCTATATTTCAAAAACTTAAAGGACAAAGCCACAGCAGCTACAAACTGGCATCTGTTAATTAAAGTCACTGGTATTATAGAGATTTTCACCATATAGATAAATGACCTCACATCTGAATGTTGAAAGACTCAACAGTCATGGAATGTTTTTGCATCATTTCCCTACTACTACTTGTAACAAGTGTAAATTCATGTTCCTGTGGATTAGGAAATGTTTACCTTATTTCAAAGGGATATCCTTTGTGAGTTACGGCTTCACTAATGATATAAGATGTGCCCAATCTGTCCCTCAGTTTAGACTGAAAAATTATTACTGCTGCCTGTGAGTTTAAATAATGTATACTGTATCTTTACCAACATATGGTAGTGTCTTTCCAAGAAATGCTACATATGATTCTTCTGGAAGTTACATTAGACTGTCTGAGATATAGAGATACCATGGAACCGCAAAGAGATCATCAAAAGTTATAATGTTGACTTTATGTCAGCAATTAACAAAAACACATTAGTTTTGCAAGAGATAATCCACCCCTTGTTTTGAACTAAAGAATTTAAGCCAAAGGGCTTGAAAGGATAATAATGTAAGGCAGCTAAATACTATTAATATCATTATTTGTTAAATTTTACTAAAGTGATCATCACTTTTATGTAGGTATCAATCTTATTCCCATGGAAATTGAAGTCAAAAAAAAAAAAAAAGAAATCATGCTGAAGATACCCAGACTGTAATGTGAACTTCCATGGTTTTGGACTGCTAAGAGAATAGTGTATTAGCACTTTAAAGAAACCTTTGACTAATGGGCTCTGCTGTGTCTTCTGGACAAGGTTCAATAAAGATGATGGAAAAAAATTATTTTCCTAACACATCAGTGATTTCTCAGCAGAGATATTCTCTGGGACTGATTGAACTAATCTACTGTTTCAACATATTTTCAGTACAAAAATAATACCTTCAATGCTAAGTTGTCTGTAAGAGGGGCTATGCCAATGAAACAGAGCATCTTTTTATTAGTTCTTTATCCCTTGGTTGGTGACCCCAGTTCTGCCTGCAGTAGGTTTCTCTACCCAGAGGTTACACTTGCTCCATAAATGATTAAATGTTGCCCAGATGCTAGTGCAAAAACTAGCACCTTTATGGATGATGTGCAGTAGCAACAACATGGAGAATCCAGCCCTGAACTCTTTGTGTAAGCTCAGTTTTCACTAAAGTTACACCTCACCGATAAGCGCCTGAATAAGCTATATAAATGTTGTAAAGCAAGTAACAGCTTCTTAAACACAAAATTAGGATTACTACGTCTACTTTATAGTGAGGAAGATAAGAAACATGTGTTAAAATTCTTTTTAGCTCCCGCCACGGCAAAAACCTCAGTGGCAGAATGTGGTTTGTATGCAGCTGTAGGAGGAGATACCAGTCCATAGATCTTTTCACATTTTATCAAAAAATTGATGAAGTATGACTGAATATTGTGCTGCCATTCCCCCCACAAACATGTCTGTAGTCCAAATTAATGCACTTTCTGATCTAAATTAATAAATACTTCTTACCAAGTAGTGATTTGTGCCCTCTATCTACTATGTGAAGACTTATTTCAAGAAATTTGACACATACAGAGAGACTCCTGAATGTTAGGCTATACACATTTATATATCCGTAAGTATCACGCAGGCTTAGCTGGCAAACTGAACAGGGATTAGACCAAATGACCTGCAAAAGTGCTTTCTAACTCTGATTATTCTAAATTTCAAAATTCAAGTTTGGGTTTTTACCCCCTAAAGCCACCTTTTATCCAAGTAAGGAAACTGTCTTGCACACATCGTGCAATGACACTGATGGCAGAAGTCAGAATTCCTCAAACAGTGAGATTTTTTATCAGTGTCCAGAACATTAACTTTCAAAAATTGTACTGTAATTTGCAAATAGGTAGATATGTGTTTCATTGCATACCTGTATTACTAGATTTGAAATTTTTAACAGTCATAAAAATAAAAACAGATTTCGGTATGTATTTGGGTATAATCTGGGCTTTATCTAATTTGTTCTGGACATTACAAGCACTTGCAAAATTTAGGCGATACAATCAGAAGGACTGATCTGAAAATCTTATGGAGATGAAAGGGGCTTTGTCATTATAACTTTCATTAGTATAAATGGCATTGGATAGCTAAAGCCCTGCTCATCTGGATAGAGATGCACCTCTGACTGTCCTGGCTGGTACGCAGTTTTACACAGACTTGTAGACAACTGGATACCCATGCTAACTTATGAACCACTTGGAATTCAGATAAAAGCTGGAATTCAGTGGTGTTTTACCCTATTTATACTGGCTGCATTCCCTCTCCTCACTCTATCACACTAACTTCATAAAACTTTTGCAGGGTTTTTGAGACTGGAATGCCAAAATAGTTTGAAATGGCAGATGAGCAGAAAAATAGTTGTTTCTTTCCTAGAAATAATTACCAAGAGAAAATGGAAATTTTAGTGTCTGCAGGCTGCCATTCAATGAGGTTGTTCCAGATTTCAGACAAGTCCTTGAAAAATACACGTTTTCATCTTCTAATCTTGTGCTGTCCAGTACACCACACTAGACTAACTAGCTGTTTGACTTTTGAAGCTTTCTCATCACATTAGTATTCAGGAACATGTTGCCTTTTGATTTACTTTTTCTTTTCCATTCAGAAAAACTATTCTTTTTGGAGAATGGATGTTTAAATAGGTTATAAAACAGGGGTATGGCTTTTTATACACAAAGTTAGGCTTTTTTTCCTTCACTTTGCACAGACTGAAAACATATAATCTAGTGCCGTCTGTTTGCAAAGATTTCTTTTTCTCCAGGAGGGAGAACCTTGCTTCAGTTGCATTCCTTTGAATTATAATTAGAGCTTTGAAGTCCAGACAGCTGAGTAAACAAATTTCCTCCACCAATTTAATTATCCTGGCCTATTTGTCAGTACCAGCAGAATACCATATAGCATATTTCCAATTAAATCTCCACTTTATATTGCCAGTAAAACGCTACAGGTTCAGGTCTGTGCAGCCAAAAGAGATAATGTTGGGTTGCCTATTCTTGACTTGGGAAGCTGAATCTCCCAGATGCATGTCACTGGCACGGGGAGGGTTAGGTGGGTGCCTGAAGGCTGCAGGCAGTGGTACTCGGTACATGTAATGAAGGCATAAATGAAACTTCCCCAGCAGCTTCCAAGCTCAATGCAATGCAATGCAAGACCATCTCTCTTGTGCATGCTATTAATCCTAGTGGCCACAGCCCTATGTGCAGTCTCAGTCTGCTTCAAATTTCACTGTACCTTCAGCACCTTCTGGGAAGCAGTCTTATGCGGAGATGGATAGAGGAGCTGTGGCTCGCTTCTGTTAGGATGTACCCATACGGAAGAAAGAGGCTAAAGCACAGTTAAGCTGTATTTGTGCAGTTGTTTTACAGCTCCCAAGTGCCCAAGACAGGGAAAGCCTTCAGGTCATACACTCAGGGTAGCTATAAGCAGGAGGCAGCAGGATAGCACTGTAGGGAGGAGGGAAAAGACCTCAGCTGGGCAAAGATCTGCGTTAACAGAATGGCTCTCTGGGACTTTGGGACTACTTCACTAGTTCTAGAAGGCCTAGCCCTTCTCTACTGCACACATGACCATGATCAGCTGTGTCTGTTTTCAGTCTCATGTGCCATGAGTTCCAACCCCCATGAGAATCTAATTTTCTGTGCTCTTCCTCACCTCTCTACAGATTCTGGCTGAAACAGGAAATTAATTAAATTTCTGCTTTTGACCCATTTGTATCCAAACTCCACCCACTAGCTTAACACATCTATCATATCATTAAGATATTTCATATGCAGCAGTGTTCAAACTTTCTTCCGGAAGCAGGTCAGGAAAGAAGAGCACTGGCATATTATGCAAAAAAAACTTAAGAGTTGCCTAGCACCATTCAGCTGATTACCACTGACATTCTGAAATGAAGCATCTGATGACATCACATCCTAAAGTAGTTTATATGTTCTTCAGAACTTGATGCACAGATTTTAAGAAAACCAAACATCCATTAAGGCTAGTCTACACTTTTCTGATTCTAAACTTGCCCTTTTTACTGTGCTAACCAAGTTGAATTATACTACATCTGCTATCATCCTACTCAGTAGCAGGAGAAAAAGTGGTAGGCAGACTTTTTATCCTTTCTGGGTTCTGCTTAGCAAAAGTGAAAATGAAAACCCTTGGCAAAAATTTGTGCGGAATCTTCCAAATGCACAATAAGCTTCAGCTCATCAGAGTGGAGAAAAGCTGTGTGACAGTTTGTTTGAATGAATCTAATAATTGGTCTTCTCAGTAATGTGTTGCATCAAATTGTTCTTTCAGAGAGAAGTAATGTAACAACACTGTGTACATACCAAGTGTTATTTTGGTGGAGAGTTGTGTAAGCTAAGTGACAGTTAGATTTGTTTCATAACAGGTCCTACCTGGATCAGTAAGAGTAAAAAATAGGTATGCCAAAGGTGATAAGAACTGATGTTCCTTCAAAATTGACAGAATATGATCTCAGCTGAACTAAAAGAAAATGTAGCTAAAGTGGATTGCAACCTCAACTGTTTTGTGGCACTTTGACTGTGTGTCTCCTTTTATAAAGCAGGTGGTGTTTATTCAGTGTTTTGTACAGTGCTATTAAAATCTGAATTATGCGTGTATTGTCTCCAGAGATTGCCTAAAAATTCATATTTTTCAAGGATCTCCATTTTTTCTATTTTTTATCAGTTCCACCCAAAAGGGAGATGATGATTATGAAGATTACACGTCAAATAAGACTTGGGTTTTGACTCCTAAAGTCCACGAGAGTGATGTCACTCTTATTTTAAATGGCTTGCTAGAAGGATATGACAACAAGTTAAGACCTGATATAGGAGGTATGTCGGTTTTCTTTTTAGACCACTTTTGATTAAGCGGTGATGAGAAAGAATTTTCATACCACATTATGCTACTCAGGAAGCAAAATACATTCAAAGTAGTTATGGAAATAAAATACAATATAGTTAAACATCAGTGTCATGAAAAGTAGTCATGATTTTGGAAGCTGACATAAATTAAGACTGCCAAATCTATCCTGAGACATCTAATAAGTCTGTTGTGATTTGCTGAATCAGGCTGCCTGTAATGATGCATCTACATAGGAAGTTAAGAATTTAACTTTTGGGGAATGAAAAAGCAACTTACATCTTCTTTGTATATCTAAGCAAGGTGTTAGGGAATCTCAAATAATGCATTTGAGAATGCATTATTGCAATGAAAAGGAGACTGAAATGAGAGTGATGCAGCCTCACCCTTGCTTGATGTGATGGACGCAGACAAAGCCCCTAGCAGCAGCAGGTCTGCACCGATGGATGCGGCATGGGCCCTCATTTGCACAGCAGGGCAAAAAGTAACTGGGGAATGGGGCAGAGAGGAAGAGATTCACAAAAGAAAACTGCAGCCAAGTAAGGCCAACCTCTCTAGACTTCTCTCACAACCAGTATAAGTATATAGATCCAAGCTTGGACTGGTAATGGAAGTATTATTTGAAGTGAAACACCTTTTGCAGGAATCTTCCTCTCCACTGATTACTGAAGGAGCTCAAAGAGATAAACCACCCTGACTTGCTGAAAGTCAGCGTGAGAAGGCCCCATAAGTGCAGAGAACAGGCAGACAATACCCCTATAGAAGAGGATACAGAAATAGTAAGATTATAGAAGAACACAAAGCAAATTCATGGATGAGGCAGAGGAAAGCAGAAAGGTTAATGAAGGAAGCTGTTTCTAACAAGTTTATAAAGGCTTATAAACTAAGGAATTTTTCACAGTGAGAGATGAGTATTTAACCTTCGATGTATGTATATAATGTAAACTAGCAGAGGAACCTATCTTATTCTCCCAATACAAGACATTAGAGAACAGAAAGGAATTAAGCATTCATAAAAGCATGTGGGAAAAAACAATCATGATTTAATCAAGATGTATAAGAAAAATAAAGCTACAACACAATAATTAAAAAAAGTAAAAGTTTTTAATTCCTGTTTTAAAGCCTTGAGCATTAATTTTGCTTTGGGCTCATGAAATTGTTACTTACCTACAGCCATCTCTGCAGGCAACAGCAGTCATGTCACATCTGGCATTATAATGTAAAACGAGCAATGCAAAACATCATAAGAAGAATAAATTTGCTTTTGCTGATAGTGTTTTGTCAGATGTGTTGCTGTGACCTGACACCAAATATACATACTCTCAGTCAGATATGACTCCTTCTGAGATAATGATGCTCGTTTCAGTATTTGTTCTTATACCATAAGTGAATTTGGTCTGACAGAATAAATGACATAAGAATTTGTCTCAAAGTGGCTCCAACTAATTTCAAACTGGAGACATCGCTACAAATCTTTATTTATTGTGTACACACATTTAAGTGTTAGGCAGCCATAGTCAGACAAGAGAAGTACTGTAATTTTTACTTGTGTTTGACTTTCATGCACTTGATTTTGACTTTCATTCATGTTACCTATTCTTTTTACTTCTCTTACAGTTAAACCGACAATAATTCACACTGACATGTACGTAAACAGCATTGGGCCTGTGAATGCTATCAATATGGTAGGTAAATGAATCCCAGTTTTCCTACAGTGTTCACTTTGTTACAAAGCCTCCATCATTTCTGACATTACAAGTTTTCCATCAGTTTTATGTTGTGTTATACCTATTTTTTTAAATGTCACTTATTATGGATTAAGAACTGTATGAGCTATGAACCTCTACAAGACTGGGAAACTGAGCTCTATGGTGAAAAAAAAATTAAAATAATAGTTTAACATATCTTCACCCTTCTATATACTCTACTTTCAAGTGCTTTGTGGCAATAACCGCTGTAAAACTGAATTTCCAGATTGCTACAAAATAAGGAAAACCATTCACCAGTGACATTGCAACTCTTACTACCAAAAGAGAAAAAGAAAAAAGCCTAGATCCTCTCTCCTCTCCTCTTTTTTAAGTTCTTAGAGAAAAATTTAATTATATCTTTGTACAGGTGAGGGAAAGTGCTCTAGCTCAGCACAGTGTCTACTTCATTCTTGTAGTTTTCATTGTAGAAAGAGATCTCAGGTTGTTCTTTTCCATTCCGTAATTCCCTTTACAGCTTCTGGCTGCCCTGTGGTACCAGGGAAAGTGAGACTTCACCATTTCTGATATTAACTAGGGACCACAGGCAATGAAGGTAGCCAAGTCAGCTCAATTTTTTTCTCTCCTAGATCCAAAGGAATAAGTAATTGTTGTCTGACTTGACAGGCATAGGTTGAGGTGTGGAAACACAGAAGCAGAAAGGTACATATACCACTCAATTGCCCCTTAGTTTCATCTGTCAGTGAGAAAAAAACAGAATAAATTGTTTTTAAACACTAATCTTTGGTAAACATTGCCCTCAAAAATTGACAACAAATTGTTTTTACCAGTTCTAACCATTACAAACCATAATTGTTTGTACCATCTTCTGTAGGGCACATTTTTTTCATGTGAAATTAAAGAAAGCATATCAGGAGTTATGTGAAATGCTGAGTGCTGTGTTTTCATCAGTATTTCTGGTTAACACAACAGGAATATACAATTGATATATTTTTCGCCCAAACGTGGTATGACAGACGTCTGAAATTCAACAGCACTATAAAAGTGCTCAGATTAAACAGCAACATGGTTGGGAAGATTTGGATACCAGATACATTTTTCCGAAATTCCAAGAAGGCTGATGCGCATTGGATAACAACTCCTAATAGGATGCTCAGGATCTGGAATGACGGCAGAGTTTTGTACACATTGAGGTATTTATACCTGACTTTAATTTTAGTTTCTTGAGGAAAAGACAAAGAGAAAAATCCTGTGGATTCAGGTCATTTGACATTAACCTAAAGAAACATGCTTCCCCTCCCCCCCCATTTACGTATGCATACAACCCTAAGAAAGGACATATTTAGAAAATATTACTTGCATGCAATTTATTTTATATTTGCACAGTAAAGGGTTTTATTCCTTCTTACAGATTGTACTGTTTTGCTGCACGATAATCACGTTCATATACTAACATGATTATAAGCATAGTTATAGTAATTCATTTCCAGGTAATGTTTTATTGTTTGCCACTGGTTTGTCCATATTGCCTGTTACCTTTTTATAGTGTTAAACCAATAAATTCAAAATATACTTGAATTAAATAGATGGTCTAAAAGGAGGTATTATACACGTGAAAGGCTCCTTATTCTGAGTTGATTACAATTTACCTCTGTGAAGCTCTACCCTGCAAAAGCATTTAATTGCTCAAATATGAAAATAAGGATTATGATTTAAGTGTTGGTCATTTAAGGATCAAATCCAAAATCCAAAAATATGCTCTGTTCCATTAAAAATTTCAGCAATTTGAACTTGATATGCTCATCTCCAGATTTCTGTCACTGTATAGCTTTTCTTTTAAGACAGATTACATTTATAAACCATCTTTTCAACAATTCAGTTATGCATATACCTACATTTAATTGAAACATATGTAATATTTAACTCAAATATCATATCCCCAGTGACAAGATACTTCCTAAATTTGAAAATCCTAAGGTGGTTTTTTTTTCTTACATGTGATGTAATACTTGGTTCTATATATAAAGGAGATAAAGGCAACATTTGTTGAAGAGAACTTCTGATTTAAAATGAGAATACACAAACAAACATGTTAGAGATAAGACCCTCTGAACTCTAGACTGCATTTTTTTTAGTGTTTGTGGGGTTTTTTTCTACTGTTGTTTTATTTGGTGCCAGAAATAAAGTTTTTAAGAAATGTACACTCATTATAACTTTAAAGACTAGACCGGAAGCTTTGGTTAAGACAACCTTTTAACGTTGCAACTGTCTGAATAACAAAAAAGGAGTTCTATTTCATAGTTATTTAACATTCATTACACATTACATTGCTAGAGGAGATAAGAGAACGATCAGAATTGAAATCCAGTGCAAATCAAAGTCAGTCTCATAAAGAAGACCCTAAATCCACTTTTGAAATGTTAAATGTGTACTTAGCAACACCACTGTCTCTTCAATTTGTTAATTTCTCTTCAAACTCCTCAGTTTCTCTCATTAGAAAGAGACGTGTCTAACAGAAGTTTGAAAGAGTTAACTGTTATTAACGTGTACTTAGTTGCTCTAGTGAGTCACAGCAAGACCCAGTACGGATTCAACCTGGATTAATCCAGAAGTGAAACATGCTAGTATCATCACAGATCTGGAGTTCTGTTCTGAAGAGAAGAGGGCTCTGCAAGAGCTGGTTCATTTTCTCCTTTTCCTTTTTCACACTCTCACACACACACACACACCCCACCACCACCCTTCCTCCTTTCCAAAGTCCACATATCCTGCAGCTCATGGCCCAGGGTTATGTATACGCTAGCAACGATTACAAGCCTGATTGAAAAATGGTGGAGTTTTTAGCAGGCACATCAGAGGATACATCTTACCTTATTATGCATTTCTAAAAGTACATGTCTCTACCTGATCAATAGCACCTGCACCAACTGAGTTATCATGGAGACTCTGCTAATATTCAGTAGAGAGAAACACCTTTCAAGTACATACTTCTTTAATTTAAATGTCTTATTTTGGAATGATATTAAGTACATCCTCAAAGTGTCTTTCCACTAGTGATGAAGTAGTCTACATGGCTGTCTTGGATGCAGATGTCTAAATTTGGACTCACATCCATCATTTCTGAAATAGAATTTTTGTCACATAAAATACATTTCTCTAGTGCATTATGGCATGTTGTGACACAGAGATTTTTCACTGCTCATAAAATGACCTGTATAACTACTTATGGATTTGTCAGTCATGAGTAATGCTGCCATTTCAAAAGTATAGGAACAGCACTTTAATAGCTTATACTACTAAACAGTCCAGAAAGCAGATGATCAGGACCTATATAATAAAAAAAAAAAAAAAAACAACAAAAACACCAAAAAAAAACAAACAAAAAAAACCCACCACTGAAACACTGCTTATCAGTGACTCTGATATGTTCCCATGTCAGGAATATCCACATTAATACATACAAATCAATAGTTTACTTTTGCTTTTATATATACATATATATACACACACATTACATATTTGCATATTTTGTAGTCAGGTTCCATATTAGTAAGAATCTGGTTTAGCTTGCCATGATGTAGCCTTCAGGACAAACTTCACAAGTGCGTTCGGTATATCCCGATCTCTTTCTCCTCAGGCTGACAATTGATGCTGAGTGTCAGCTACAGTTACACAACTTCCCAATGGATGCCCATTCCTGCCCCCTGGAATTTTCAAGCTGTAAGTAGCATGCTTTAGAAATATCCTTTTTCTGACCCACACTGAATCACTTAATTATAAATTTATATTTACATACTTAAGAGTCAGTGAGAGTTATGTTCTTAACTAGACATAGCCCTAGGTTGTTCACTTTCATTTTGACCTTATTTTCAAGAACATGAACCATATCTGTTCACAAATATCATTGAGGAATGCTGTGTAAAATATAATACAATTTCTGGGACCTATGTGATTTATTCATGCTCATGTCTGAGCACAACAGTAGAAAAGTTTACTTTCCGCATCAAAGTCTCAGGACCTGATACTTTCTGCACGTGAGTGTTCAACTATTGCAAGGGTTGGAATCAAGAGTTTGACATTTTGCAGTCAGGTTAAGGTGTAAATTCCTGGTCCAGGTGCAGACTTTTTAGCCATAATTGAAAGATGGGCAAAAGTGCATCCTATTGAGTCCACAGAAGTGGAAAACTCATGTCTGAAAAATTTATCTCAAGTGTCATTTTAATGTATAATAAATAAAATAAAATGTGACATTAAGTGAAAGGCACTTGTAACTAACTTGAGAAAAATGTATCTATAATTTACTTGTACTATGCTTCACCAGTTTCTTCCAGAAATAGAAAATAGTATTTTTACTCCCCAAAGTACACTAAAATCCTAGCAATGTCTATGAAACAAAGCATTCTGTATTTTCCATTGCAATAAGATGGCTACCCAAGAGAAGAGATCATTTACCAATGGAAGCGAAGCTCAGTGGAGGTGGGGGACACCAGGTCCTGGAGGCTATACCAGTTCTCCTTTACAGGATTAAGAAATACAACTGAGGTGGTGAAGACTACTTCAGGTAAGACAACTGCTCTGTTAACCTTCAGATTCATTTAGGATTTTATTAACAGAAAGAAAAACTGGAAAGATAATATTTAAATGCCTATATAACCATCCAGACTTTAGTATTTCTGAACTCCTCACAGAAGAGAAATAATTTGTGGTCTACTGTCCATTATTGCCCTCCAAAAAATACCTAGAAATGTAAGGAGAAAGCCACTGCTACAAGGGGTGGGTGAAAACCTTCTATCCTGCTTCAGAGTAGAAAATAGAACAGCTGAGCTACTAAATGATAATCTAATCCCGATCTGAATATTTTATTATCCCCTTCCAACATCCAGAAGTAGAAAGTAGGCCTGCACAGAAATGAAATTCAAGTCCCAACCTCTTTACTACAGCAGCTCCAAGTTTATTTTGTTCCTTAAAACAGGATACACTGAACTGTCATTAAACAGAACAACCTTACAAATCTGAGTCCCCGATGATTTTCCTCCATATTTCTATCTCCTTGGAAACAAGTAATGGAATTTAAAATGCTAAATGAGGAAGTTCTCAGCATTTAATAAAAATAGCAATTTTAACCCTACTAACTAAGCAGGAAAATACAATATTCTGGATATATATTATTGTTCTATTTCTCAGTGGAAAGAAAATCAGTGGATATGAGAAAGGATGTAAAGAGGAATTGCATATTAATATTCTGGTGTGTGCATGTTATCATTTGTCTTTGATTTCTTACTTTCAAAAAGAACAGTGAAATGAAAGCAGTTTTTTCCTCTTCAGGTTGCTTTTGATTTTTATTTCATTTTATTGTTTGGCAAATTTATTTACTTAAATTCAGACATCTGTATTAATTCTGACTTCATAAATATCCCTATCCATTTTCTTTCTAAAAGGTCAGCATAGCTGTTCCATTCAAAAGGACAGTGAGATGCTAGAGCTGAGAGCAGCCTGCTGTGCATTATACTGGAGTGCAAACAGAAGGGTTGAGAATTAATTCAAGTCCCAGCTCCTGACTCACTGGACATGAAGCACCAGTGACATGTTTAGTGTCACAAGCAGGGCAGAAAAGGAAGGAAGCCTCCCAGCTATAGTCACCTGTGCCTTCTGGCATCTTCTGCCATTTTAGCTGAGGGAGGTATTTAGTAAGCTATCCAAGAAAGTATTTGACCTTCCGCATTTTCCCAGAAAAATAAAATTGAAGGTGCAAAAGAGGACCAAGAGAGCAATGTGTGTCCAAGCCACAGCTGCTAAGACCCATCATTACACATCACATGGTGGAATTGTAAAAATGCAAACAGCAATACATCTCACCTCAGACTGCTCCTGCAACAGGCAAAGCACAAAAGGCAGCAGGGTACCCAAAATGTGGTCTAAGCTCTTATCTCGCCCAGGTTGAAAATCAACCTTATTACAGCCTAATTCAAGTTTCTTCTATTATTTTTCTTTCCTATTCTGCTTGATCCATTCACAAGCTTTTTTTTTGGACAAAGACAGAAAGTAAAAAAATCTTAACATGCCACAAGCTTCAGATCCACTGTTGCAACACATCTTGAACCGGTGAATCAAAAGCACTCTCTAATGTTCTGGTTAACGTGAGGAAAGTGCATACTGTGAAACAAACAGTACAACATAGAATGCAAAAAAAACCTTTCCCATGTAAAGAAATTTTTTTTTTTTTTTTGGGGGTCACAGGATAGCTGTTCCAACTTGTATTACTCAGCTGGACTACCACCATAATGTTGCATCAGCAGTTTTTAATACGACAACAAACACAAACCCTTTTAATTTGGTTTTTTTAAAGTAAAGTAATTAGCAGCTAGCATGCACTTTAACACAGCAAAGAGTCATTCTAGTCATCACTCGATTCCTAAGAAGGAATGCCTGTGAAAGCTACTCAGCCTACTGAGCTGCTTTTCAAAGACCTGCTGAGTACAAAACATGGAAAAATGTTCTGTGTATATATTTCTTCTGCTGCAGTTATTTAGGTTTGATTTTCCTTGCTCCTCTTTGTTTTATGACCACAGATAGGTAAGAAAATTGGATTTGATTTTCATCGAGGTGAAATATTCAAATAATTAGAAGGTGGGAAAAAAACCCCAAGGGAATAGGAATTGTCATGATTCTGGTCTACCACGTACAAATATTTTGCCAAAGCTGGCAGACCCTAAAGAGTGTTCATTGCTTACCTAAGTGCCTTATTAGCATGTTGGGATCTACAATAAGTCTAATATTACTTAAAATAGGTTAACTGAAAGGGTCAGATAACAGAATTATATACTCTACCTTTACTCTCTCTTACATACACACATTTACAACAGAGTATTCCTAAAAGAAAAACATTCCAAGATTACAGATTTATTAGAAACCTATGTGCAGCCTGAGTACACAAGTAGAATTGAACATCCATATAGACAAAATAAATCTTGAGACTTTATTCAACTAATTGCAGTGCTGAGTATAACAGAATTTAGGTACAAACTAGTGACAATACCACTGCCAACGCTTTAGTGGTGACATGAGTTGAACTACAATGGAGGTGGCAATGGAAAGATTAATGAGAGGTTGGAAAGAGGTGTATACTGGAATATTACAAACCATCATGTCTCTCTTATCTGAAATGAGTCATCCTGAATTATCAGTTTGTTTCTCTCCAAACTGAACATCCACATGTGCCTCTAAATTTTTTTGAACATCACAGACCAAGCAGTGACTTAGCTCATAGAATCCACTGTCCATTAATAGCAAGGACTGTCAAGAAAAGTTAACTCTCAATCTTCAGCCCTGTGAACGTAACATCAGAATGACTAAATAGCCTATACTTATAATAATAAATTACCTTTTGGGTTGTATTTGGTATTCCCCCCACACCCCCCGCCAACCAATACAGTGTAAACAGCAGTGGTTTAGTTCAGATTATTTGAAATAACGTGCATGTTAAGACATAATACCATCTGAGCTATTACAGTTAATCTCACACACTTATAAACTGAAGTGGATTTAAGACCTATTGTATTACTGAACTATGTCTATAATCACAGCTCCAACAGTGCATACCCTGGACATTTATTAAGAAACTACCAAAGAATCAGATTTACAAAATCCTACCTCAAATCTAATGCTGAGGTTGCACAGCAAATCCAGTTGCTTTACTGACATGTTCAGAGTTCATATTATACTTACACTGTCTTTAGTTATTTAAAGGTGTGTGATTTATTAGACATACGGTCTATACATGGGACAAATGTAAAACTAGCTGGTAAATGTGGCAGAAAGTGGACACAGCATAAAAAAAAGAAGATATCACAAAATAAGCAGCAATAATAAAAAGAAAAAAATGACTGCTCTAGCTCAGGACATACTTCTCCATCCTGCATATTGTCTTAGTACTGCAAAACCATTTAATTCAAATGAATGTCAGCTCTTTTTTGCTTTAAAAAGTATTTTCTATCTAATTTCTGACCTTCAACATTCACTGTGGATTAAAATAAGAAACAAGTTGAGAAAGTGCAGTAAGTCCACCACTTGCGAATCATGTGAGTAAATGTTGCTGTTCTTCACTTTTTTTGATATTGAAATATTAGAGTTTAGTCAGAATCGCATTACAGAACAAAAAGTGCTTATTGCTTAGGAGAAACTTCACTGAAGTTTTTTTAGAGAACTCTCTCAACTCAGATCTGACTAGGAAAAGAAGAGCTTTATTTTACGAATTGTTACTGCAATGTAACAAATGATAGAGAAGTATAACATGAGCAAAATATAACACACAAGTGGATGACACCGATCAGGGATGAGTTGAACTTTGGGAACAGGAAAACAGGAATATTCCAAAATTTGTACTTATTTACATTAAATGAAGAGTGAAAGATGGTAGGAAGGAAACAATCACATGCACAAATATAAAGAGGCCAGTAGCTGTGCAAAAAAATTCTAAGGGGGTGTATTAGTCCACAAAGACAGAGAATGTGATATTTTTTCTAAGAACACCTTTTCTGAGACACATTACTCAGTGTTGTGTGTAAACTTGGGGGAAATATTCACTGTTCTACTCTGTCTAAAACTGATTTCAAATGGTTGCTGCATTCTGCTTGACTAAAAAAAAAAGTTCACTTTTAAGTGCAAGATTTTAAGAAAGAAGAATGCAGGAGAGTGTAATAAGTAAAAGGTATAGAAAACATGACCTGTGGAAATGTTTGGATTTCTGGAAGAAAATTCAATCGGTGATCAAAGAAGTAAAACAAACATACTGCTTTCAAACTATAACAATAATCAGCACTGGCACCTACCATGTAGGGAGATTGTAGAAAACCTAAAATCAGAGGTTGTGAAATCATACCTCAGACCAGGAAGAAAGGACTAGCTTATATCTTGAAATTCTCTCCATAAATATTTTTATGAATTTCATTAATTTACTAGACAAACTGCATTTCTACTCACTAGTCCAGTGGTTTGGAATGTACAAAGTACTATACAATGCCAAACAGTGTGTGAATATGTAATTATTCATGACAGATAGAGCTTCTTGTATTCCCAGTTAATTTCTGTGACTGGGTAGGTCTTTTTTTAGACCAGGCATTATCTACTGCTTATTCCCAGAGCCTGTCCTGAATTTAATTCAGATACAAAGGTATTATAAGACTAATCACTAAATAGCAATTCAACAAGCTGTGCAGGATCCGCGTGACTGATGAGCCAATAACTGTAAATTCCTTTTTATTTTCATCCTGTTCTGTGTTTTACAGAGCTAATCAGAGCTATGCAGTAGAGAGAGTATTGCTCATCATTGATAAACAGTGTCAAATTGGTAATTAAATATTTATCTTGCTATGCATCTATTAAGCAGCATAAATAGATCTGGTTCTGGTCTCTGTTTTATCAGAAAAATGTGGTGAAGGCTATTACTTTGTGGAAGAGAATGTATTTGCAGACTTTTATACCTTATTTTAATGCTGTACCATAATGAACTGAAGTGTTGGCAGACAGGCGGTCCCCAGAGGTTTCATAATGCTTAAAAACCCC